AATGGTTATATGCTTGATGCTTGGGATAAATCTATGTATGGATGCCTTATTGTGATGATTTATGATGTTATGATGTTTTGAAAAATGTCCAAGTATGTGGTGATGGGTTGGATTGAACTTGGACTTAATTTAAGTGAACTAAAACATGTTTAAAGTTGGCTTGGAATGACCTAATAAATTAGTGTTGATAAGGAGTAAATTATGTCCGAATTTTGGGGTGTATTTTCAAGGATTTTAGATCAATTTTTAGGTGAAACTTAAAGCATAAAAGTTGTTCATCTATGTTTCAACTAACTTTCTTTAAAATTTCTTGGCCATTGGATTCGTGTACAAAGAGTTATACCTGATTTAGTATGGATAGCTCTAGACAAACTACTATTAGGCAGAATGCTCCCTAAGTTTCAAAAATTTGTAATTAATTGTGTACTTGGTATTTAGACCTAATTTTTGGATATGTTATAAATAAATATGTCTAGTATCTAAAATAAAATGAGTAAGATTTAATTATGTTCTGAAATTATAAAATTATTTACTCGATTAGGAGTTGTCCGGTAATAAACCCTAAAACAAAACAAAAATTAGACTTGGACAAAATTAATAGGTTTGGAATAAACTAAATGAGCTTGGACTAAATAAAATAGAATTAAATAGAGTCAATGGACCTAGGATAAAGTTAATGGGCTCGGATTAAAGTAAATGGACTTGGACCTTCTTTTAAATATTAATGAAACTAATGAACAATATTAATGAGTGAAGATTGTGTTCCCGTTGTAGGTATCGTGATTGGTATGTGAGCAATGGATAAATTCCGAGTGTGGGTTGGACCATGAGTATGGCATGAGAATGAAGGGTTGGTACCCGAATTTGGTTGAATGTGATTAAATATGTCATCACGTGCATCATGTGCATAGTGGGTGGTTTAAGACAAGTCAATTGATTAAGAAACGGTTTATACATCTAGGTTTGATAACCTAACTAGAATAAATGGGTATTAGTAGTCCAATACTCTAGGTTGTGTGCCCGCACTATTAGACGATGGATTTTCGTTAATAGTAGTTACAATGAGGGATAATTCCGTTATAGCGAGAAGATGATCCGAGGATCATCTCGGATGAAATCAAGCTGTGTGCTTGCACTCGTTAGACGATGGATTCCCGCTAACAGTAGTTACAACGAGGGATAATTCCGTTATAGCCGAAGGTGATCTACGGACCACCCGGATGATAAATAGAGTAGATCGGCTAATACCTGTGGTACCCGAGATTAAAATTAATGAGTATGGTGGGAAGTCAAAACAACATTGCATATCATGTGCATCACCCCGCTTACCGGGCTTCGGCTTACCCCGTTGTTATTTTTTTTATGTCTTGATAGAAAAAGGACAAGTTGGTACGGATGCGGTTGGCTCCTCCTAACTCGGCTCATGTGAGGCACCATATATTAGTTTTTATTTTGTCCGTAAATTTGGGGTATGGAGTTCATGAGAAATTGAATATTGTTCGTAATGTTTTATTAATGTATTTAATTATGTTATGTAAATTTTATCTTAAGGAGTTATATACGTAATGTACTCGTTAAAGTTCTAAGAATATCATAAGAAAACTACTTAGAATTTAGAGTATGTCGAGCATAACGCGCTTCGTCCGATACCCTACTTGGGTAGTAGAACTATGACTAGGGCGGGGGCATTACAAGACTACTTTAATTCTTTAAAACATCCGTGGTAAGATTTAGACTTATTTAGTGATAATTAAGAGTGGAATTCATCGGAAGATTACCAACACTATAAGAAAAAGGTGGAGGATAATCGTTATTTAAGTTTCTTATTGGACTAAATGCTGCGTTTGATAAAGTTAGGGGTAGAATTATTGGTAGACAACCACTTCCCTCTATTGAAGAAGTGTTTTTTGAAGTTTGAAGGGAAGAAAACCGCAGACTTATGATGTCAAGGAAGAAAAAACTAACAAAACGAGTGAAGAATTCTACCCTTTCGTACTCGTAGAGGCTTATACTAGCCGAATGGTTTAGGAGAATTTTTATACAACGATTGAAAACCAATTTCAATTAAAAAAAAAAAGTTGCACTCTCAACACCGATAATAGCACTCAATATTTTAATGAGATTCTTGGTGATTTTTAAAAACCTAAGGGTATTCAATGTCAATCTACTTGTATTGATACTCCTCAACAAAATGAGATTGCTAAAAGGAAAAACAAACATTTGCTAGAGTGTCTTATGCCATTATATTTTCTAAAAATGTTCTCAAATTTGTCTAGGGGAAGTTGTTTTAACAACATCCTATTTGATAAGTAGGATGCTTACTTGGGTTCTTAACTATAGTACACCCTTTAAGTGCTTTAAAAAAAAATCCTAAAGTTTGGATATATTTAGATTTACTAATGAGAGTTTTTGGGTGCATTGCTTATGTCCATTTACCTACTAGGTGATGGTCCAAACTAGATCCCAGTGCAAAAAAATGTGTCTTTATAAGCTATGCCCCAAACAAAAAAGGGTACAAATGTTTTACTCCCAACGATCCGTAAAACCTTTTTTTAGGGAAATTTTCTTCGGGGAAGAAATAAAGTGAAGAAAATTTTAGGGAAGTTAATCACACTCTCTTGCTTAAAACCATAGGTTCCCTTGAAAATCTCTAAAAGCTAATTGTCTCTAAAAGTCTGGTTGTTCCTAATATTATAGAGCCAAGAAATATTGAATATTCGATGGGAGGAAAAATACTACTAAATGACCCTAAAGGATAGGAATTTGAGTTTAGAGTTTACACAAAGAGAAAGAATCATCAAAATGGTAGAGAGCTTACTTTTCCCAAAGGCACAAAATCAATCGGACATCTCGAGTGATGAGCCTATAGACATGCAAGGTACTTTAAACCCTCTACTATCCAATATTGTTCCTATTCTTAATACTTACTATGATCTTGACATTCTCATAACACTTAGAAAAGGTACCCGATCTTGTACTAGCCATCTTATTGTAAAATATCTCTTATATGATAAATTAGTTCGGAATTATAGGGCGTTTACATAAAAAAATCTCTAATATATTTATTCTAAAAAACATTCACGAACCCCTTGATGATCCAAAATGGAAATCAACGAGTAATGAAAGAGATGCATGCTCCAGTGAAAATGGGACATGAGAAGTTGTATAGTTACTCAAAGACCAAAGAATAAATGGTTGTAAATGGGTGTTTGCGATGAAGTGCAAGGTTGATAGAGGTGTAGAAAGATACTAAGTGAGACTTTTTGCTAAGGGGTTTACTCAAACCTATGTTATTGATTACCAAGAGACTTTTGCCCCAACAACTAAAATTAAATCTATTCGAGTTTTAGTGTCTCTTTTAGTTAATTTCAACTCGGACCTTACATCAATTGGATGTAAAGAATACATTTCTAAATGGTGATTTGGAAGAAGTGTTTTTGTTTTCACCACCAAGCTTTGAAAAAATTATTGGCCAAAATAAAGTGTGTAGACTCGAAGTCTTTATATGGTCCGAAACAATCTCTACGAGGCATGATATGAAAGGTTTGGGAAGGTAGTAAAAAGCTATGTCTTTCACCAAAGTCAAGCAAATCATACTCTATTTTATAAGCATTCCGAGATGAGAAAATTGCAATTCTAATTGTCTATATAGATGATATAATCTTAACGAGTGATGACTATAAAGAACTTACAAGATTGAAAAGGAAGCTAGCAGAGGAGTTTGAAAATTATAAACCTAGGAGCATTGAAATATTTTCTTCGAATGGAATTTACAATATCAAAAGAAGGAATATTTGTGAATCGGAGGAAATTTATCCTTGATTTACTTGGAGAAACCAAGCTATTGGGATGCAAGGTAGCCAAAACTCCAATTGAGGCTAACCTAAAACTCGGTCTCACTAAGGATAAAGATGTGATTGATAGGGAAAAATTTCAATGACTGGTGGGAAGATCGATATATCTATCACACACTCATCCCGACATAGCCTTTGCTATAAGCATGATAAGTCAATTTATGCACTTGCCAGATCAAAAGCATTTTGAAGCTACCTATAAAATACTAAGGTATCCGAAAGGGACACTCGAAAAAGGCTTGATGTTTAGAAAACCCGATAATGTACAAGTTGAAATCTATAGACATGTTGATTAGGCGAGTAGCATTTTTTATAGAAGATCAACATCGGGATACTCGTATTTTTGGGTAGGGCAAATCTAGTCACTTGGTGGAGTAAGAAACAAAATGTAGTAGCTCGAAGTAGTGCTAAAGCTGAGTTTAGGTCTCTCACACATGAGTTTTGTGAAGTAATATGGATCAAGAGGTTATTAGAAGAACTAAAGATTCCTATGTCACTTCTTATGAAAGTCTATTGTAACAACAAAGTTGTCATTTTGATTGCACACAACCCTATTCAACATAACAAATCCAAGCACATCAAAGTGGATAGAAATTTTATCAAAGAGAAACTTGAAAGTGGCCTATTCCGTGTTTTTTATATAGCAACTACCAAACAGATAGTTAATATACTCACTAAAGGACTACAGAAGACACAAATTGATTTCCTAATAAGCAAGCTAGCTATGGAAGACATTTACAAGCCATCTTGAGAGAGAGTGTTAAAAAGGAGAAATCAATGACATTTGGATCAAAAGGCTGCTAATTGAAAGGAAATCTGTTTCTAACTGATGAGGAGAGAAACTAGAGAAGATTTTTTCAAAGTAAATAAATTAGAAGATTTGATTTGTATAAAATTCTTTTCTAGTATAAACACTTTTGTATTTTTATTTATATGTAATCTAAACAAAAAAAATACATAAGGCAGAATATTTTCCATAGGTTCTTATATTTCTCTATGGATAATCTGTTTGTGAAAGAGGTGATATGCATATAAATACAACAGCAGATTCAAAAGAAGGAATCTACATTCTTTATGACAAGAATGAATGCTTTATACTGGAAAATTTAATACCTAGTTGTTTCCTTAAATTTTACTTATAGTATACTAATTTTCATTTCGAACCCTATTCTGACCTCTGGGGAAAAACTTTCCAAACCCATTTCGGTTCTTTTCAGAAACAAAGCTTGAGTTTAATGATAATGATGACTCCCTAGCACTGCCATTCTTTGATCTTAAAGCACCTCCACTGACTTGGAAGACCTCAGAATCTCTATCTGAAGATAGATTTCTAGGATCTGGTTTCCATTGTTCACCATCCGCTTGACCCTTTAATCCTTCACTACTGACATCTGAGGATTTCTCAGAATCAAGCAGGAAGTCGTCGAATGTTGCAAGAGATTTCAACTGAAGACCAAGAGATGAGATCGTTTTCTGGCACTCCGCAAGTTTACTTGCGGCAACAGCTAGCTCTTTCTCCTGCCATTAAAAAAAAAAAGCTGTAAATACCAAATTACCAGAGCAATTGTGTTTAGCAAATTACTACTGTTCTTAAACCCAACTGTGTTTAACATATCAAGTCATAATTAGCATGCATCCAGATATGCAACAGTTTTAGGTATCTCATATCACTCATAACTATGATACCAATTGGTTTTTATGAGGCCAAAAATGATTCTGACAAAGGATATCATTGAAAAATGATGCTAAAAATTTTGCAGGTAGCTTTGGAACCTTTTATTTTATTTTATTTTATCATTCTTTTAAAGGTAAAACTGTTCTTTTTAATGGAAGCTAATCCAAAAGCATGATAAAGAAACTATTTTATTCTCTTTAGGGTAAAGTTCCAAAATTAATCAAGTAGCTAACTAAAAAGAAAATTATTGAAAGAATAGAAACGCAACAAAAACCATTTGCTTTTGTAGAAGTTTTGCAATATGAAAGTTAATTTGAAATGGACAATAAGGAGTACAAAATGTTAGATATAAAGACTTGAATTGTCAAAATTAAAGTTTAAATGGTTAGTACAGGTGTAGCCAAGCCAAAGGGAATGTCGACAGTGGTATTACTTGTCTAAAAAGACATTCCCTCTCTTGAGACCTTGAAATTCGAAAGAAGTTGAAAATTATCGGAGAATGCAGATCACTATGTTTCCCAGAATAGGAAAACAAATTTAGGACGTTTTGATCCCAGAGTATAATAGAGGTAGGTTTGTTTATCAATTAAATTGCATAAGTTGCCATTCCGTCAAGCATTTGCTTTAAAAGGTCAAATAACAAACATACTATAGAAATTTGTGAATTGACAAAATCAATGTTCCAAAGAGATCTGTTGCGTGTTCTAATTGGTGAGCTAAATCAACAATTTAGTTGGCTTGGTTTGTTGTAAGTTTTGGTAACAGGGTATAGCAGCCAAGATACAAAATCCAAGGGGATCAATATGCATGGCATCTTAAGGCACCAGAGACCATGTAAGTTGACTCAATTAAAGTTAAATGCAGCATTTATGAACTTGGAGTGGGAATGGTTATTGAGCTTCTAGTGAGTCTTGAGATACTGACCTGTGCTATCTTCGACTCTTCATTAAAGCTGGCAACACGCCTGCGCTCATTCTCATGCTGGAGCTCAGCTTCACGTTTCATTTCTGAGAGCTCATCTTCCAACTTCTGGCTCTTTGCAGCATTCTCAGCTGACAAAGCACGCTCTTTCTCAACCTCTGAATCTAATGAAACAACTTTAGAAAGCAAGGTTTTGATCTCAGCTTTAGCAATGATGAGTTGTGATTCTGTCTCTTCAGTCTTTGCTTCAATGCCCTTTATCTCTTCCTCTCTAGTTTGTCTTGATTCATTTGCAAGAGCTAACTGAACTTGCTGCTCTCCCATCCTTGCATCTGCTTCCTTCAGCTGACTCCTCAACGTCTCAAGCTGTTTCTGGCATTCAGTCAAAGCCATTTCTGATTTAAATTTTTCTTCTTCCATCTTTTCCAACTTCTCCTCTAGTTCAGCAGTCCTGTTAATCATGGATTCTAGTTCTTCTTTCCACGGGTTTCCACTACCATTGCCTTTATCTGATACAGGTTCTGGCTCAAGATAAGAACTTCCACTATTTGTATCTGGCAAAGCTGCAAGTCTTTCCATTTCCAGAAAATCATCCATAAGATTGATTTCTACAGATGGGACCATGAGGTTTCTTCCAATAGGCTTCTGATACTTATCTCGATCAAGTTCTGTATCATGAGCGCAGGCACGTGAGGAGCCACTTGGATCACATTCGTTCATTTCCAAGTGACTCATCTTGAATGAATCACTTTCAACTGCCAGTAGCTTCTCCCCAATATCAGATTGGCTGTCTGTGATAGACTCAACACAAATTGAAGAGGCAGTTAAAGATTTATAATCATTAGCAGCTGATGCTTTACGAGCCATGGCTTTCAACTTCCGACACTCAGCTTCAAGCTTAGCAAGCTTTTTATGCTTTCCAGGTGTAGTTTGCTTGCTGTTTCAGCAGCTTGGGTACTCAAGTCCCTCTCCAAAATCCTAATCTCTATCTCCTCATCTCGAGAAAAGAGCTCACACTTAAGGGACGAGTTCTCTTTCTCTACAGCATCAAGCTTTCTCCATAAATCAGAATCAGCTGGAGCAGCAACAGTAGCTACATTTTTTGCAGCTTGTAGCTGAGCCTGGAGCTCAACAAGCTGGCCTTCAAGCTCAGATTTCGTTGATTCCCAGTCGCAAATTTTCTTGGCGACAACTTCATTGATCCTTTCATCTTGCTCTTCTCTTAATTGTCTTAGCTGCCTTACACATTCCTTAAGTGCTGCATCTAGATGACCAACTCTATCTTCAAGTCCAGAGTTCTTCTTTGTAGCATCCTCAAGTTTTTGTTTTAAAGCTGACAGTTCTTCTTCAGCTTTCTCCCACCCTAGAAATTTAGGCAGAAAAAATAAATAATAGCTGATAGCCCAGATATGGGAGGAAGGTTGTAAATCACTTCCCTAGTTAGGATAAGAAAACGGGTGATGTTAAAAAAAGAGGTTTATGGACATGAAAAATTCCATGACCTTTTTTTCTTTTCTTTTTCTTTTTCTTTTTCTTTTTCCATTTTTTTCTTTTTTCCTTTTTCTATCGCTGGGTTAAACAACAGAAATGCCCTTCTTCAGCAATTTATCCTCCCCCTGCTTTCATACCTAAATCGCAAGAGGGATTCAACAGGTATCTTAGAACAACAATAAGAAACTTGACAAACTGTGCTAGCCTTGATATATATATATATATATATATATATATATAATTTAGAAGAAACCAAACACTAGCTCGACTTTTAACAGAATGTGAGAGTAGAAGACAATGGAACAAGTACCTGAGACTGCTTCTTCTGCAACTTTGGCATGCTGCTTTACCAACTCTTCTTTGGCACTAACGTTCAGAAGAGCAGCAGATAGTTTCTCTGTCAAAGTCCTCACATTGTCACTAATGTCTTCATCAGTGAGTACAGCTTTAGATGTAACCTCTGGTGATTGAGGATTATGAGTTGGATATACCTTTGCCAGGAGGAAGGGGAAAAAAATCAGAATTTCTCCAGCATCATCCAAAAGGACAAACCCACCATTTGCATGTAGAATGCAAAAACATCTAATGGCAAATCATTATGAGAAACGGCTTCTCAATTTTCAGCTATTGACAGAAATCTCAGTTTCAAAACCATACCAAGGTTTATATAGACACAAGAACAAGAGAAGGAGTAGAAATCCTTCCAATAGGAATAGGAATTCTATCCTACTAAACAAAACCAGAACAAACTAAATTGATTGGAGAGTTAACTGCTGGTGCTAGCCTAATAGCTTAGGATTCCCAGAACAAAAATGATCCACCCGGATCCATGCAAAATCAGGATGGTGAAGGGACTAAGAGAGGTGATCTAATATGAAGATTCAAGCCAAGTGAAATTCTGTTGGTTAAGATTAATCGAGTACAAATATCCTACAAGAACTGCTCAAGGGATCTTATACACCCATCTCCACCTTCAGAATGGAAAGGCACATTTTTAGAAATATGGATATGGTCAAGTAGAGTTCCACTGGAAGGGTGAGTCTTACTGTTCATTCTAACTGTGCATCTTCTTTTTCCACTGAAACTGATTGGATGATGCATGCCTTGCAAGCAGATAAAATCAATGCTACAACCTACAAATCAGGTAAAGGCATATTTCGGATGGTTGAAGAAATTTTTTTAGGTAAGGTCGAAATTAGTTTTAGCTATGTCCAAGAAGTTTCAAGTCAAGTAGGAGCTAGCCCCAGCAACATCCAAGAATATTTAGAGCAAGTCGTAACTTGTGTTCAATCTTCACTTTCAGAATGATGAGAACGAGCAACAGACAGCGGCATTGCAAGTGAAGAGCCAGAACAACTAGCAGAAATTGAAGAAGATGTTGATGAAACTTTACGAAAAAGATGGAATTTGATGGAACTGCAAAGAGTTCAAGGAATTGACTTCATTATTCAATCCCAGTTTACTGGTGCTGGTGAAGAGAAGATGGTCTCAAGCCTAGGCCATAGATTCATATGAGTCGATTAAGAAATGCTCATTTCTATCTGAATTGCTTCAGCCAGCCTCAAAAATTAAAGCCGCAGATTAAAATGTCATAATTTTTTGCAGAAATGTTCTGTCAGAAGGCAAATTCAAACAAGCACGGCAAGCAAGCAACACCTTTAAGTGCCTGATACGACAATACAGCATAAGAAAGGATTCTACTTGAATGTATGGGAAAAAACTGTCCTAAGATAAGAACGGCAGGATTTTGGTGAGGAAAAGGACATAATTTGAAACCTCATATGAAGAGTGACAGGCCATGTCAGATATCACATAAACAGAAATTCCATGTTTGGAAAAATCCGTTCCAATATCCAAAGCTCCCTCCACTTAATATTTTTTTTAATATATATATATATATATAGAGAGAGAGAGAGAGAGCATAGCGATGTGCAACAAACTCAAAACCCAAAATTGAACCAACCTGATCGTCAGAGAATCTTTCAGAATGAGAAGAGATGGATCCTGAACTCTCTGTTTCCCCAGGACTCTTCTCTGAAGACTTCCTTCTCCATAGCCAACTCCTCCTGTCCATCTCCAATCCCACCAAAGCATCACTATCCCCTCACACAAAAATCCATTTTTGTCATTGTATAGCTGCAAACCAAAGGCCCAACATCAATAAACAAAAACCCAACAACCTTAATCCCTGCAATTTAACCACCACACCAAGTGTTTGCATTGAAAACTCAGTAGTTCAAGGATACCAAACGATGTAAGCAAGCAAGCAAACAAGCAAACAAAAAGGTTCAAATCCAACTGTTACAAACAAATAAAAATGAATAGACTTTTTGGTAAAGATCTTAACTTTGCTTTGAATTCACTCTACACAACCAATCTGAACACAATGTCTTAACTTTTTGAAGAAGAATCATGTTCATCAAAAGATGGATATATTTGATAACCCTTTTAAAGTCTGTTTCTTTATCTATCAACAATTACTTGAGACATAAACTTTTGAACAACTCATCAACTGGGCACCTACCAAATCCCCCAAATTTCACGCCATGAAATGAGTGTCATAGAAATAAAGAAGAAAGCCATAGATGGATAGAAAGAGACAGAGAGGACCACGTGAGAAAAGGCCAACACTGCCTAATAGCCAATAATAACCCCATTTCTCCTCAACAAAAAATCTATCTATCTATCTAACAAAACAAAGAAAAGCCAAAACCCACTTTTAAACATTATATGAGAAGGCAAGAAATAATTGCTAACGCAATAATACTTATCCCAAATTATCTCAAAAATCCAAAAAGCTAAAATCTTTAGAATACGTTTTGTAAAGGAAAAAAAAAAAAAGAGGTAGTACCTTTTGCTTTGAGACTATGAAAAAAAAAAATCAATAAAATACTGATTGGTGAAAAAGATTTAAATAGCAAACAAGTAAGCACAAACAAATTGTACAAAGAAATCTGAGGAATGTCAGTATAAACTGCAGGTGTTTAAATAGGGAGATTTTTGTTTTTTTTCTTTATTTGTCTATTTCTTTTTATTTTTTTGAGAATCTTCTCTTGGTATTTTTTTTTTATTTTCTTTGATCAATTAATGAGTACGAATTCAAAAATAGTGTAGGGCCAAGTGGACGCGTCGAGGACTAGAGTTATTGGCATATATTAACCTTTTTATAGTAAGAAGTGGGCAAAAGAAAAAAAAAGTTATATTATTGTATTTTTGTCTTTTTATTGACTTTTTGGTTTGATTATTCAAATAAAAATGGCGTTATTCCCGCCCATTGATGCTGGGATTTGAGTACCCACCATATTTTTCAAATATTCTATGCCATTTGTCAACATTGATCTACTGTGGGCTGCTTGCATGTCGTTCTCTTGTTTCTTCTTTCCCACGCTTTAATTGAATATCAAAACCTAAAAGGACAAATATATCGATATTCATTTTGGAAATATTTTATCTTCAGGATAGTAATTATTGCTTCTAACTTTGTGTAATTAAATATAGTAGTGCATGATACATACTAATGTGTATTGTTTGTAGTGGCATACTAACCAGTGATGTGCAAGATTTACTAATTGTATTTAATATTCAGTAATTTTGAAGTGGTCGAAAAAATTGTGGTAATATCTTCTTAAGTTCTACAAAAATGAATCGCAAACAATAGTGCTAGTGGTACCAAATGTGTCTCGGTAAGGCCATTTCGAGATTAATTTAGTATATTAGATATACTTGTGTAGATATAACGAGAAAAAAAATGCTTCTTTAAAAATACATATATCTATTAGAGATGTTGAAGTTCTTATTTAACGAAGGAGCCTTTTATATAGTAGAAAATAGTGGGTATAAGACATACTTTTAGTATGTTGGATTAAATGGCTATGAGGCCATAAGGAAGACCTAACCTAATGACCTTTATAGGGAGTCTACATTTCATAACTCGTTGGTTGCCACTTGTTTTAAAGTGAGACTCACTCAATTTGAGACATGATGATTTTTTGGTACGATGCAATTTGGACGGATCAAAACTTTGAAGGTGTGACTCACTATATTTGAACTATATGCCCATCTTGTTTGACGAGTTATCTAGATGGATGGAAGTTTTCTAAAAAAATCATGGCTATTAATTCTCGAAGAAGTGAGTTCCTAAAGCAACATAGATTTCTAATGGAATAGACTCTCGAAAAAGTGGTGAGTCCTAGATGGGAAATGGAATCCCTAGGGAGTGATAAATCTTAAACGAGGGAGGGATTATTAAGGAGGGACATAATTTCGATGAGTAGTGTAATTCTAGATAAAGGATGAAATTCTTAAAAGGGGGATGAACTTCTTAAAGAGTGATGAATTCATAAAGAGGAATGGATTTCTAAGGAGTAGTAGAATCTCGAAAATCCTAAATAGGATAGAATACTTAAGAAGGAATGTACTATTTAAGGAGGAGTGGGATCATTGAGGAGGGATGGATTTCTAACGAGAGATAAACTCCCTAGGTAGTGGACTTTTTAAGGAGGAATGGGATCTCTAGAGAAAATATGATCGTTTGTTTCTTAAAGAATATGGCCTTGAACTGTACCCTTAGAGGAAATGTGGTTGACCTTTGCTTGAGGAATATGATTTTGGATCTGTACCTCCGCATCTCAATACGATCGTTTGTTCTCTTGGGAATACAACATTAATCTATACTCTTAGAAAAAAAATGTGATTGTCCATTTCTCGAGGAATATATATGACCTTATATTATACCTCGAAGCTCTCGATATGGTCGCCCATTCTTTTGAGAATATGCCCTTAAACTATACTTTAAGGAAAATATATGTTGTTCGACTAAGTACACCTTGAGAGTGAGGAATACTTTGGAGTGATTAAGGATGAGTGGGATTTCAAGAAGAGATGAATCCCTAGCGAGAAGTAGATCTCTATCATCCATCCCTTTCAAGAACTCTTTTAACATCCAGATAAATTCATTCTTTTAGGGTCATTTAGTGTCGAAGGTGTTAAAAATAACTAAATAGTCATAAAATCATCTTGTTAGTGTATGAAAGATCGATGTTAACAACTAACTAAAATTGATGATTAAATTAGAGATGTGTTTCATAATTAAGGATAAAATCGAGTAAATTAATGAAAGATCATGCATCTATAGAGGTGTGAAATAAATAAAAAAATTTCTACCATCTAAGGTTTCTAAGATCATGTTGTTGAATCAACTAATCATACATAATAAATATAAATATAAGTGAAAATTACCTCTTGTAAAGCAGATTTGTATTAATTATCCACGCAACTCAAGCACCCAAACAATAAGTAATAAAGATCCTAGAGTGCTAGCTCCAATCCTTCATATAATTAATCTTTCTCTAGAAATCCTATGAAGAATTTATGCCAACTTTTGACTTTTTAGGGATAGATGCCGTAACTATCGTTATAAGAGAGAAAAACATTCTCTCTATTTAATTTTACGTATGTTTTGTTTTTCTTTTCTTTTGTTGCACTCATTGTCGCCTCTCCCATCCCTTTTATATATAGCAACGACAACATCTCTTTGCTTCTCCTTGTAGGTCAAGGAGATGTTGTCTATGTGGGTTTTGTCTAATTTTATCCTTGTAAATCGTAAACCTTATCCAATGGTGCTCAAGTTTGTCCCTCCATAAAAAATCTTACGAGCTTTTAAATTAAGCCTATTGGCCTAATTAATTATCAATTAATTTAGACCAACCAAATAAATTAGGTTAGATATTTTTAAGAGGCCCACATTAGAAAGTAATTTCCTAAAGTAACCTTAAACCTAAATTAGAAAACTAATTTTCTTTTTTGGTAACTCGTCTTTCAAATTTAGAACCGACTTTCAAATTAGGAAATTGATTTCTAAAATAGAAAAATTTTCATTATAGAAAAAATTTTCCTAAATAGAAAACTTTCCAACATATGAAACTTTTTCCAAAATAGGAAACTTTTCTCAAAATAGAAAAATTTAAAAATAGGAAACCTTTTCCAAAATTTTTGCTTCTTTTTTATTACGTAAATGTTTAAACTTATATGTGTGACTCAATAGACTCCTAGATATGTTGTCAATATATCAAGAATAAAAGACACATCTATCTATTGATATATAAACCAAGATTGGTCTTTATCAAGGTATCATGACTACCCAATTCACTAGAAAAATTAATTAATTTGTAATTACTTTTTATGAGCATGGCTACCATATAATTCGGTTCTCATGTCAATTTACCACGGTGTGATCTTGAACTTGGTTTATAGTCTATGCGATAATAATCACACAAGTTTTCTTTAATTCCTAAATGTTTTAACTCTAAACTAAACTAACTATGCTCTATTGGTATGCTTTTGTTGTGGCCACAGATTCTTTGAGCAAATATTCATTGAAATATAATGTGATAACTCTTTTAGCATATAAGAAATGACATATCTTATCCTAATCATCCGTCTATCTCCATTAGATTTCTAATTCACTCAATGAATCATTTATATACAACTCTTGACTAAGCCCATCAAAACGAGTGTCAAAATACATAAACCTTCTAATAAGAAAACCGTGATAACTTCAAGTCAAATGATCAATTGTACCTATCTCGTATGAGATTTTCATAAACTAAACCAAATAGGTTCTCATGGTGAGTTATGTCTAGTGATATGTTCTCTAACATTAGTGCTTGCTTTAACATCAACATACCAATAGGTGTGAGATCTCCTACAGCTATCTTATAACATGAACATAAGACTCACAAGTCTTGTCATATATTTTTAATGTTCATTTTTTATAATACTAAGACTTGAGATATTTAATTATATCATTTAGATGCATTAATAGTTATCTCATATCTTTCGATCAATCATTAATGCAATGCATATCATATAGACTTCTATCTTATTCTATCAAATTATAAATAACAAGAATTAATAGAAAGACTTCTTTTGTTAATATTAAAATGCAATATTACAACACATCAAACCATCCAAACAAGGTTGGATCTTGGACATATACAATAACAATCTCCCACTTGCACTAGAGCCAATCGGCCATGTCTTTTATACTTGACAATCAAATAAGGGTCTCATGTTTTTCTTGTGATAAAGACTTA